GTCATTGCTGGCCGCTATGTGGCCAACCCCACTCCTTATTCTTGTTTTACTTTATTGTACCTTAGCTCTAATATCGATTTGACCATGACCTCTAAGTCCTGACCCCAACAAGGCAACCCCAGTAAGTCTGAAATGAGGGCCAAGAGACAGCTAGGGGGCACAGCGCTCCTTTAGAGTCGCTGAGGCCAAATGCCCTACCCTTGGGCCTTGTTTGCGGCATCATGGCCATCGCGGCCTATAGCGGCCCGCAACGGCGATCCTCGGTGCCGACCTGGACCAGTGTCTAACACACACGCCCTGTGCCAGACGTTCAGTGTGGCCGGATGGCCCGGACCTTGGGTCTCAGGTCTCATGTGACTTCCGGATATCTCTGGAAGTTTTCAATGTATTGTGGCCACTGTGGGAAGATGAGAAGTTAACTTCCTTCTCATCTCTGACCCACAGTAGGATTGTGCCCTGGATAGGGCTGGCCAGACTTGAGGCTGTGGGCCATAGGGGAGGGTCATGGGGACCCAGGAGTTGTCCCCTGACAAGTGCCTTTGAAGTGCTTTCAGGATATATGATTATTTGCAAAATTGAGGAAGAAATGATGGAGAAAATGGAAAATACTTTCAGAGACCTGAGAAATAATGAGAACTGAATTGATGGGAAAGTCTGAAAATTGAATAGGAAAGTGAGGGGAAGCCTTGTAGCATTGTTATTTTCTGCTGTTCTGATTTTTCCTGATTGTTCTTGGTCTCACTCCCAGATACTCCTGGAAGCTCCTGGGAGGGTCCAGGAGCAGCTGGGAGTGAGACCAAGAACAATCAGGAAAAATCAGAACAGCAGAAAATGACAATGCTACAAGGCTTCCCTGTCATATCCCAGAATACCGACCCTGTGCACTCCCACCACATCACACCTTCCTAACAACTTCACCATCCCCTACACCACGCCTCCCCGCTCCCCAAGTCACCTTCCCTCCTGACTGTCTCAGCTCCGGTCTGGTTGCGGCACACCGAACCTTGGCCACTCCCATCCTGGAACCTCGGTCCTGAGTCGGAACATTCAGAGACTCCGGATTTGCTCCGATACCCTGATGGACCTCTGACATCCCGTGACACACCCTTAAACCATTTCTCCACCCATTTCATTTATTTGAGTCACCCAATATCCTTCGGATACGCAACTCCGCTTTCGGAGTTACCCACATCCTTCGGTGATCTCACTCACGTCATCACTTATTAGTCACCTTCCATTTTTAGCACGACTCTCTTCTTCTTACCATTCAGTCGGCTAACCCCCCCTTACCCATTTCTCGTTCCCATTCAGTTTCCGGCCTCTTACTCCACCCTCCATGGTCTGACACCTCGGTTCCCCGTTAAAGATATTGTTCGGGACCTTTCGGTACCTCTCAGTATCATTCGGTACCTTTCGGTGTTGTCCCATTGTCATTCGGACTTTGACTAAGTCCTTTCAATTCCCCTTTATAAAATACCTGTAGGTTAGAACCTGTAGTTCCTCAGTTCTAATCTTGACTAAAATGCTACCCAAAGTCCCTCTGAGTGAATCCCGTTCCATTCTACAAGATACCTCAGACATAAGAAATACAAGGACTAACTGAGACATAACGGAGGCACAGCGCTCCCTCCGAGTCGCTGAGGCTGCGTCCTTCTTAGAGCCTCTTGTACCATCCAGCAGAACCAGGCTTCCTGGAGAAGCTTCGGTCCACCACTGGAGCTCTCAGACCCCCCTCTAGTTGAGCCCCACCTGCATTCGGACTCACGCATTTACCCCTACGATCCAGGTTTTTGACATTCCCCTCACTTTCCTATTCAATTTTCAGACTTTCCCATCAATTCAGTACTCATTATTTCTTGGGTCTCCAAAAGTATTTTCCATTTTTCTCCATCATTTCTTCCTCAATTTCACAAATAATTATATGTCCTGAAAGCACTTTAAAGACACTATAGTTCCTGAATTTTTTTTTGATTTTTTCCCTAAATTTTTTTTTTCAACTTTTTAGAGACCAACATTTTCCTCCCACTGCTCCTGGTACATTGCATACTCCTCACCACTCCCAGCTGCTCCTGAACCCCCTCCCAGGAGAACACTATTGGCTCCAGGAGTGCCCAATCTGTTGTTTTTGAAGAAATTCAACACTGCTAGCGCTATAGACTCATGCCATGAATCCAACTGAGGTAAACCAGGTGACTGGACAAATGACATAAAATGGACAAGCCCGGTATCGAACCCAGGACCTCTAGCGTGCATCCATACACTACTCGCCCGTTATGCCAGGGAGGTTACTCCATCCCTGATGGTTATTCCAACAGTTTTGTCTCCCCCATGCTCCAGCCACTCTTGATGCTCCGGAGCATAACAGACTTTTGCTGATGAAAGTTCAAACAAGGAACGGATTAACTGGGGCACAGGCAGAATATGCCGTGCAGAAGTACAAGTCACATAGATGTATTAAAATGAGTATCTACGACTCTTAGCCACAAGAATTTAATTTATTATGATCTCTACAATCATAATTGCACAGCGGTTCCCCCATAAATTTCAACTTTTTTTTTTTGGGAGATTGGCCACCCACCATTTTTCTGAAACTTCAAAGAAAGCTGTTTCTTGGGTACATTTTATAGTAGGATTTTAATTTGAAGTCGTGTTTCTAATCCGGTTGTTGAGTGAAAATGGTGTGGGAAAGTTCCATCCCAAACTGTAGGAATCTTGAACCAATTCATCTATATGAATAGTTATTCTGACCTCAGCCATCTTCATCCACTATTTTCTTCTTACTGTATGCAACTTTCTTTTCCCTTCCCTTAAGGTGCATGGGCACCTGCCCGTGTGTCTTCACGCTTGCATCTTATTCATTTCCTTCATGTCACAATGTTGTAATTGGCGGATTCAAAAAAACATCATCATTTTCATATTCGTCAAACACGTGATTTTGCGGGATGTACTTGGGAATGTTTTAGGTTTACTGCGTTACCGGTTGTTGGTCGTGCTAGTACAGTATTACGAAGTCATAGAGGCTGGAGTCCTGCCTACTTGACGGGTTCACTCACACTATCCACACTCACTCACTACGACTGCTCGCTTTATGTCTATACTCAAAACCACATCACTGAGAGCTAGCCTCCACACTGTGCGCGGATGCCTGTTCCCACCACTTTCGAGGTTCGCAAGCACCCAGCGCACTGTGCTAGACGGGTTGACAGATGAACAAATAGAGGTGCGACCATGGGGGGTGTGGTGAGACACCATTCTGGGATTGCTAAATGATGCCTCCAATTTGCGGGACGTCAGTTCCAGGCTGCTGTGTCTGATTTCGCACAGAAGGAAATTGCCCCTCGAGCGTCCGAGATTGACAAGACAAATAATTTTCCAATGGTAGATAGCAGTCATTTCATCTCCAATCGCAACTGCCTCAAGGCTTTAAGTTGCTAGGATTTATGGAGGAAGTTTGGCGACATGGGCTTGCTCGGTGAATTTTGCTCAAATCTTAACGATCCACACTTTAGCCCGTTTTTATGACTATTTCGACACTCTGAAAACAGGAATTACCATATCCGAGGAATATGGTGGGATTAACTCCGGTTATCTGCAACACACTCTCGTTATGGAGGGTTCGTTCCTTCCCTTATTTCCCGCCGTCTCGCGCTTATCTCTCAGCTTTCCCTTCCACTTTAATTAAGAGATATCTCGAGCATCCGGGTCTGTGGCCCTCTCATATGGCGCCCATTCCAATCTTTGTGTGAACCAAATTCACCGGCATGGGACTCCCGCCCAAAAACAGAAATATCTGCCAGATCTCGTCTCAGGACGTAAAGTTGGTGCACTGGCAATGAGTGAAACCGGAAGCGGCAGCGATGTGGTCAGTATGCAGCTAAAAGCCGAGAGACAGGAGGGACGATGGGTGCTCAATGGGAATAAATTTTGGTAAGTTATCCTCGACACTATAACCTGATTTTTTTTTGGCTGAAAAGGAGGGTAGGATTACGAATGGGCCGATAGCAGATACACTTGTTGTTTACGCCAAAACAGAACCTGAGAAGGGTTCAAAGGGGATAACAGCATTCATTATTGAGAAAGACTTCCCTGGATTCTCAACGCATCAAAAACTCGATAAGTTTGGGGTGAGGAATACATTTTTAGGTTATAGGCTTTTTTGTCTTTCCAACTTGTTGAATCTGGCGTGTGTAGATGAGAGGAAGTGATACTTGTGAGCTGGTCTTTGAAAACTGCGAGGTTCCAGAAGGCAAGTTCCATGAATTGCATTTCGAGTCGCTCATGCTTAAGCTTTTTACGCGTCAAGAGAGCGTATTGGGCAAATTGAACGGAGGTGCGGCCGTGCTCATGAGTGGCCTTGACCTTGAGCGTCTCGTTCTGAGCGGCGGTCCACTTGGGTGTGTCAAAGGTGTCGCATTCTTGAGGAGCGCGAATGACTAATTTGGCTCGCCTCGATCGCTTAGACTCATGCAAGCTGCCTTCGACATAACACTCGACTACGTGCATGAGCGAAAGCAATTCAACAAGGCTGTAGGGACTTTCCAGCTCATGCAGGGCAAGATTGCGGGTATGATCCTGTCTTGACCAGACCTAGGATCAATTGCTCATGATTTCGAAATCCCTTCAGATATGTATACTAAGCTGAGTGCGAGCAGAGCTTACGTGTATGCGGTTGGCAGAGCATGCGATGCTGGAAACATCAGCCGTCGGGTATGGCATTTTTCTCAGACTTATCCATTCCTCACTTCCTCTTCCAGGATTGTGCAGGGGCTATTCTCTACTCTAGTGATCGCTCCGTTGAAGTTGCCATAGATGCAATGCAATCCTTGGGCGGCAATGGATATATCAATGGTCTGCAGCTGTTCATTTTGCTATTCACATTTTTCCATTAATCTTGGCAATTTTCAGATTACCCCACCGGGAGAATACTACGGGATGCCCGGTTATACTGTGTAGGAGCCGGGACACAAGAGATCAGACGAATGTTAATAGGCCGGGAGTTCAACTCGGACTACGGAATAAAGGACCAATAAAAGTTAAGATCCTACCACACAAGTTGAATGGGTACTGGGCAATGTTATTCGCATTGTGATACAATTAGCACACATGATTGGTAGTGCGTTTATTTCCTAAGGAAACATTGATAGAAGCGTTTGACAGGGAGAGCAGCAAGACGATGGTTAGTCATGGACAAAACTTTGCCGAGATGGCGGAAAGAAAAAACGATGGCGCTTCATGGGACTTTAATATTCTTCAAGATCCAGTGCATGGGTCGCCATCGAAACTTTGAGTCGCTTACGGTCTCGTTCAAGAATACTTTCGTTCGAAACGTCGCACACAGGAAGCTCTCCGGCAGAGTCTGATTCTTTGGACTTCCTTTTGATTCCTTGGGATGCGTGAAGTTCCATATGATCGCCCGGGTGTGTTTGAGATTGGGTTGGAGATCCCATATCTGCATCTTGATTATTTTCGTCGTCACTCAGATGTGAGTCCCCGTCCTTGCTGCCGTGAGTGGTGTTGGAAGTCATTTTGGAAGCGGCTTGAGCAGGGCGTTTCCGGTCACGTAGCTTTCCTCTCTACCCAGGTGTCCAGTTGCCATTGGAGTTCACCATGTGCGTTACGTACCAATGTATCAAGTCCAATCGCCTTCATTTCGAGTTCGCCTCTTGGGTCGAAGTATCGTTCGAAGGCGGCATTTACATCCTTGGTTAGAACTGGGACACGCTTGATGGTGGGGCGGCCTCTTTTGCTTTTTGGTCTAGCCTTTGGCGGCGAGGCCCCGAGCCTGTCGAGCAGATCTTCAAGATCTTGAAGAGAACAGATAAATCCTAGCAAGATTTGCAGGTTTCTTCCCCATCAGTGCACAGAGTTGCAAAATGTTACCTTCAGTCTCGAGTCGTTTCCAAACTTGGCCAGCCACCTGAGCGTTGACACCTAAAAACAACGTGAGCTCAGGCGACGAATGAAATATCCCATGACACGTGCCTAATCGTTTCTTCAAGGCGAGCGACGTTTCCGGCCTCGTCTCACCGCTTTCGCGAACTGCTTGAAGACAACGTCTGGGAACGGAAGCAGAACGACCCATACTCGATGTGTTGTGCTCGTGGGACAACGACCACTATACCTGAACAGAGCTAAAGCCTTCCAAGAGGAGATAGTGGCGTCAACTTGGTTTTCGTCGAGTAGGCTAGAATTCGGATCTTCACGAAGCTCGCACGGGAAGCAGCGAAAGCAGTTGGAAATTCTCTGGTCTCTGTCATTATGATACCTGGCTTTCTTTAAGCGTCACCCCCGTGCCAGGTACCGCACACTTACCCCATACACCTTGCGTATTAAGGATCGTTAGTATTGTCAGCCATGCGACCGCGTGGGGTGACCGACACACCATATGTGAAGCCACCTTCCGCATGAATCGCACAGGATCCAGTCGACTTCCGACGTCTATGCAGCCCAACGAATTAATGAGAGGTTCTTGATCAATATCGAAGAGGCCGACTTTGCTTCCACAATCACAGTCAGCCGTCAAACCACTAGGGTCCACACCTGATTGAACCTGTGTTGTGCCCCTATTAGACACTGGCGTTTCCATCTGGCTGTCTTCAATAGTTATCTGGCTATCAGAGACGTTTAGTGCGAGGGCGCGCGCTCTTGGAGTGCCTGGATCCTCTATAATTTCATCTTCCCCACCAGCATCCTGACTACTGAGCTCGGTAAGCTCGGATTCAGCAGAAGAGAAAATCGGGTCTTCTTCAATACATCGTGTGGCCTCAAAGGGATTAGCACGCAAAAGGTCAGAAGCAATGGAATCATGTGTGAAAGTTGGGTCCGAGCCTTCAGATGCCGTGGCTCGGTTCAATTCCAAACCACGGCCACGATGTTTTCCTTTCTTCATAACTTGCTTAAGATACTGCGTGTCGACACCATTTGTAATATCACTTAGATTCGTTTCCTTTTGCAGAAGCGGATTGCCTGCTTTGACGGTTTCTGGGATTGGAGAGGTCACGAGGGATCCCGCCTGTGATGCGTTTATTTCTGTAGGAGTCCCATCGCGTCGAGGTGATAGCACCTGGAACACGATCCGAAACATGGAATGAACGACACGGGACCGATGGCGATGAAAAACCGACATACAATCTTATCAGAGGTCTGTGAGCTAAAGTTAAACTCGCGCTCGTCATTTCTCCTAGACTTCTTGACTGTAATGGCAGTCGACAGTGGCTGAATGCTGCCATCGGACCCTCGAACACCGAGAGGAGCATCTCGGTCTTCGTCAACTTCAATATCTGAATCCAGTGCTCTGACAGACCCTTCATCGGGAGGACTCTTAGGACGAGCAGGCGCATCCGCATCCCAGACGATATGCCTGTGCCTGGCATCCTCGATCTGGACCTCGGCTGCCCGTTGTCGCATGCGCGAGCCATCCGCAAATGTCGCTGGCGGACTATGGCCTGGAGACAAACCCGAGAACTGCGCAGTATTATCCTCGCTGTTGGGAATTAGAGAAACTATCGAGGCGATATCAAGAGTGACGCTAAAATGTTGTTCATTAGTATTTTGTACGAGAAACTAAACTAAGTACTATACCTATGGTAAGGAGTGTCGAGGGTGCCGAGACGAATCTAGTCATTGAAAGGTAATCCTATGCGGGGCCAGGCGCGATGAGTTAACTCACCTTGTCGGGAGATTCGGACGGGTTGTGTGTAGTGAAAACAAAACTGGATGAAGCTGGATCTGCAGGAACAAAGAAGGGGGGCTCATAATTCTGAGGTGTGCCGTTGTTGTAGTAAATTTTGAAAGTTGCATGACGGCGGACTGGAAGTAGGAAGCAATGTTGGAAGTGTTTGGAAAGCCTGATAACTTCAAATACTACTTACGCGGCAGTACTTCCAGCCCTTGGCTCGCCGTAATCAAGCCACGGATAAGGTTCTGTGATTGAGGGCTAAATGAGGCAAGACTGGAGATAGCGAGTAAGGGCCACCTTTACGCTTCGCTTAACCTCCCCAAGAGTAATGTGCCTCCCTTTCAGCGACGCTGACATCACCGGATCGGAATTGCCGGCGAGCGATATCCCCGCCATTGCCTTATCCAACGAAAACACTGGAACCGTGACATTCGTCCCTTCGATCTTATGATACCGGAAATTGAAGGTCCACGCTTCGACGATACTGAACATTTTCAGTTCGAGAAGGCCGCAGACCGAAATTAGGACATACTTTGAAGGATCATTTTTGTCCTTGAACCGAATGAAACATGCGAGCTACATAGGATCCTGGGACGGAGTTACTTACTAGATAGATTGCAAAGACGAAACTCTGAAGGTACTGCTTCTCCAACGCGTCGAACACACCCTTCTCCAAGTAATCGAGCATCTGATCCCCTTCGCTAGTATATCCCCTCTTTACAGCTATATTGGTATATGGTATCAAATTGCGCGTTTGACACGCGATTTAAAGGACAGCGGCGCCATACTCTTTATCCTCACCCCGCTCACGTTCCTCTGGGCAGAGGGCTCAGGGTCTCCGTCCAATGACGTTCCAGTTGAAGAAAGTCTCGCGTCCTCAAAATTTTCATCTGGCAACAAACCCCTAAACACGTTCATTTGAAGCCGTGATTCACACTTCGACGCTGGCTGATGAATGAAAGTGGCACACACCGTAAAAACGTCATACACCCAAAACCAGCAGTGACAAGCGTCTTGACAGCAGCTAGGGACTGTGCCGCTGTGACGACCTTTTGATCCTGTGCGATAGACTGGGCTTGCATTGTGAATAGCAGACAGTTCTATTCTCGACGGTGGAGAATTAAATATTTGCAAGTTCGGCGTGGGAAAAAAGCGCCATCCCCGATCACTCAACAAGCTGGATAATATTTGGCACACACAAGAGCAAGAGAATCCTCCGTTGCCACCTTCCAAAACTGTGGGATCGAGTTGAGCGAAATATCGAGTCGGGCCTCCACCAGTGTTACTACATCAACAACATAGTTGTAGAAGGCCACCCAAGCGCCTGACGTGAAGGATTCACGCGCGGTGATGTACCTGTGGAGCGATTGCCTGGGTTGGGTTTCTAAATAATGTTGGTTCACTCTATATTTCCTCCTTCGGCAGGATTTAAAGCTGCGTCACAAAATCGGATTGATCATTCCAATTAACCGCGAAGTTTTTTTGACCCTTATAACCATCTGTTCACTCATGCGGATTGTCGTCTCGGAACGCCCCGACTATCCATCCTCGACCCCACTGAGCCGGATCACCTTGTGCTGGAAACCCCGCGAACTTCCGTCGTCCTTTGCCGTTCCCATCTACGACTGCGACCCTCCTAGATCAAATATTGATGCTCACGCCAACTAATCAAGCAACCCGTCCTAGTTAAGCCAGACGTCGTCACACCATTTCAGCTCAAGATATGGCACAAATACTGACAGAGTTACAGCGCATTCAAGACGACCAGTGCCCCGCATGCACTCGGGTCCTTCTATACATACAGTGTTCATGACCTAAAACCGCTTTCGTTTTGCCAATTGAAGAACTGGAATCAAATTTCATCCAGCACATCCTCGCCAACATCCACCTACTCATGTGTAACCTTCATGGAGAATAGGTCTTTCCTCCGCATCCACTGACCACTCAAGAACCATACGTCCCTTCCGAATACCCAGGGAGGCTTGCATGTTGTCGTTCTTCCTTTTCCGTATTCCGAATATCAATTTGCTTCAGCTGCCTGTGTAATAGTGTCTACTCGTTTTTGGAGTACTTCATGCGTTGGAAACCATTTGTATCGAACGAAGAAACGCGCGATTCTGGCTCAGTGAAGGTGAAAGGAATACGATTGGGATCCAGAACGCCAAACAGAAACAGATAGAGTTGCACAAGAATGGGTTGCGCCCGGACATTGTCCAATCAAAGCATGTCCCTAGCTGATAGAGTAAAAATACGCATGAGAAAATAAAGAAATATGGCAGGCCAACACCAAGCATTTGCGTATAACACTCGTGACGTAGGAGAAAGTGTGAGTCAATTCCTTTTCCGTAAAATCCGAGACGATCTCCCTTCGGCCAAAGACCCGCTGGTACCAGGCAGAAGTCCGGCGTCTCCATTGGGAACCAGAGGTGCTTTAGTAGCGTTCCTTATTTCGCGGATAGCCTTAGCTTGTGTATATAAATCAAACGGAACCTTCGTGTCCCGAAGAGCGATACCTTGCTCCCGAAGAGAATTCTCCTCGTCATCGTTCAAGGTTTGAAGTGACGTACGGATGTTCTCACGCCAGAGGTACAACTGTATAATGACTTCTTTCACAACGATATCCACTACAAACTGAAACACGCCAGCAAACAAGTGCTTAAGGACCATACGTGTTCAAGGGATCTTCATCACGCACCTGGTGTCTAGCAACATCCGTCAATTGCTCGTATCTAAGCGATCCGATAATCCGCGATGTGTTTGGCAGGCTAGAAGCAGTAGTCCGTTCTAAATAAACCGTTGTCCGTTAAGTTATCGCTACAGATAAATGTGGGCCGCTCATACCTCCCGGTACCAACGATGGGCATGTCCCCACCACAGAATCAGGGGTCATTCCATCATCATTCACTCCAACATCAACCTCCATACTCACAGTCGACAATCCGTCGATACAGGTACGACTGCTCTGATGAGACTCATCATATGACTCACTGGAGGGTTGCGTCCAAACGGCAGCCAGAGAGGAAGAGGGTGCTGCTGGTTCTCCTTGCCTCTTATCCTCCTGTGACCATTCAGCCGAATGCTTCTTAAAACATGAACGAAGAACAACAATACCAGAACGCTCAAACTCACTTCACCAGTCTGTTTCCCTAGGATCTTGTCGTCATTACTACTATCTTCATCTCCACTTCCACTACCCCCAGCATCCTCACAGAGAAGATCTTCTCGCGCCTTCCCCACCCCCAAAAGAATCCTCGCAATTTCATCCACCAGGACTTCCGTTTCCCCGCGTCTTTCAAACATCCCATATCGCACTTGCTTTCCACGTAACGCCCTTGACCCAGGATCTTGATACCAGTCATCGACGTTCTCTCGAATAGGCATATATAGATCTTTGATGATGAGTTTCATGATGGGAAGCACGTAAGGAAGGAGATGAGAGATTGGAGTACCATCAAAGGTCCCATAGGTTGGCGCTGGGAAGGTTGGTTCCCGAGGAGGTTGCGAAGAGGGATGTTGGGATCCACGACGCATGACTGGTTTAATCCTGCCCAGCTGAAATATAAAAAGGAAAGAAATAAGAATCATCAGAGACCCGAAGATAGACTGTGTTCCGAAGCAACTCACCGGCACCTCATAGAATCCATTTTCGAACATGGTATAAAAGTACTCCTTGGTAGCTGTAAGGTGCTTCCCTTCAAAATTCATAATCTTGAATGAGTGAGCGGGGAGAACCTCAAGCGCACAAAGAGCAGAAACTAATCCTTTTCGCTTCTTCGCTTGTGGAATGGGTTTAAATTCAGCGACACCGAGAATTTCACCAGGCCACCAGTCCGATCGGTATACTCCACGTCGGTAAAGAACAAGGGTACCTGCGGGGCTACATTAGCCCCGAAAAGAACATGAATGTTGATACAGCCTGATATTACCCCACGGTTGGAGGATTGAAACCGAATCTCACCACGACTCTGCTGCCATCCTATGCTGCTCCTCATGCCTCGTCATGGCCTTTTTCCACTCCTCTAAATAAAGCGGATCATCCTGAAGTTCATCAGCTTCACTATCAACGTCCACATCCTCCTCTTGCCCTTCTGTTTCCCCTGTTTCCTCTTCTTCGCCAAAAATACGATAATATAAATCCTCGTCGTCGAGCCACTCTTTCACAGCCCCTTCCAACTTTTTCCTATATTTCCGCAAATGATTCGGTGGCAAGAACTCCTTGAGCGTTTTATCCCTTCTTAAGGCATTACTTAACGTAACAAGTACTTGAGACGTCGTCGCTATCGCAGAAGTGATTTTCAATGTCGTTCGATCCCCCGTCGAATGGAATCCGCAGAGGCTGACTTTGAGATCCGGTTTTAACGCGATTACCTAGGCACAATAGTATATAAATGCTCCCGTAGGATCATATGAGAGAATGAATGTGGCGGGGTAGACTCTTACCTGAGCAGGCCACCACAGTTCTCCATCTTCGCTGATTTCACCATCGTTGGATATTCTAACCCAAATGAGTTGAGCGATTTCAGGTAGGAAAGAAGCCACGGCTTCGTCCGTAGGAGGGGGAGAGGGCGAGCTAAGGAGCTCTGAAGGAAGATTACTTCGTTGAGATAATGAGGGCATGAAGGAATGCATGGGAGTCACCGGACAAGGCGAATAGGCAGCTAGTTGTTGTTGTCGAAGGGGGGTAGTAGTGATGGAAGGAGGGGAAGACAAAGGGGAAGAAGAAGGGGTGGGGGAATTGGTGGGAATGGATGCTTGTTCGCAAAGGGAGCGATTACTTGGGGGTTTATTAGTGGATGGGGGGTTTGATTTGGCTGGTTGATAAATGGCCGGCGGAATTTCCACATTAATATCATTATGAATATCAAAAGTGACGGATGCTACGGAGACACTACTGGTTGGAGTCGCAGTTGTGTTGCTAGCGGTGACTCTTGATTTTTTCTTGGGGGTAAACGACGATTGCTTCTTGCTAAGGTTATAGTCGCCAACATGAGCAGCAGGTACAGACGTGCTATCCACTGGGCGATCTGAAGGAGTGAGGGGCTTGAGACTTCGTGACGAGGAAGTAACAGTCTTCCTCGCTTTCATCCTTGACTTCATCGTACGTATCTTACTCCGACTCTGGCTAAGATCTTTCTCAACCGTGACATCCTCTTCCTCATCGGAAGGAGAATCCCGATATCGCTTGCGGTCCACATTTGCCGCAGCCCACCTTCTTGGGACACCTGATCGCTGTACAAAATAACATGGACGCGACATAGAAACACAGCGGCCAGAATTTTCGCGTTACTCACACCTCTTTCACTCACCCCAAGGATCATTGGGGTATGGCTATCTGAAGAGGCGCTGTCACTGCTTGTTGACGCGTTCTCCAGAGTCCACGCGGGGACGGCGGCCATAGTTCGTTGCTAGTTCGTTACCCCACGATGTTGCCTACAAAGTCGCAAGTATCGCTTAGCTAGGTAAAATCTAGGGTTATCCCAAAGGACTGAGTAGAAGTCCAGGTAGAGATAGAGAAGTGAGCACGATTAGGGACGCTAGGTCCAATATCTTCGGCTAACTCCGTTGCCCGAAGTTACATGTCTTCTGCATCACGGGATTCTCGAAGACTCGATTTGACCAAATTGAATTGCTCCCAACCGATGCATACAGCAATCAAAAAGACAGGATACGCAATCTAGTGCTTGCAGGGTGGTAAATTTCCATTTGGGTCTAGGAAGTTAACAGTTAATTAACATGGATTCTCCATAGCTCTCGCTTGCCAGGCTTGAAAGCAGTGCGAGCGTGTATCAGCTGTGAAGGAAGAGAAGATGGTCAGTCCCACCAGCATCAGGACAAACCATCCCTTCCGCACCTCAACATTGTCAGCAATTAGAAAATCGCCTCGCTCCCATGTATGCTCGTAGCAATATCGACGGTCATACAACAGCTCAGTGACACGGTTGCTAATTTCCGTGGAGCGCTCAGGTGATACGCCAATGATGTTCACAGCCGTCGGCTTGAAGGCAGTGATCTCTTGGGGCCTGCGGAAAGGCAACATCAAGGGAATCAACAAACTGCGAGAATGAAGAGTGACGTTAACAAGATATACTCACCATGGTTCATGCCACGACAAGACCTGATGACCCGTCAAGGAGTTTTTCTGCAACAATGGCACCTTGATCTCGTCTCCGCCAAAATTCTTATTGGCAGGCGTAAACACTGTCCACATACGGCTCTTCACATCAGCTGCATACGGTGAGTGGGAAAGCGATTCGGCAAAGATGTTCGCCGTATTAGCGAACAGGGTGCGGCCACCAATATCTGAGGCTGAGTCCTTGGCCCCAGTGTGTGATAGGGGTGCCTCGAGACATTGGAACATTTGGAAGGTTGGAGGATCCGGAACAACAGTTCCATCAGCAAGCCGCCTCGTTTTGAAAGTGCCGTCAAAATGCATTGGCATCGCCTCCGATGTGAGAACTAGAAATGAACATTATGCATTGTCCCTCGAAAGTGAAGACCACACGATGATACCGTTGTTCAAATCGAAATGAGGATTTTCCTTCACTTCGAGAACTTCGCCAAAAACCCAGGGTCTGGAAAAAAATTGAGATACAACCCACCAGCCAAAATAAGCAAAACGAGAACGACTCACGTTACCTCCCCCATCTCCCTCGCCTTCGCAATGTAGTCGGTTTTATCAACGCCTTCAAAACCCTTGAATATCAAAAGTGAATGCTTCCCCGCAAGCCTCCTGACTTTGGCCATGGGAACGTCTTTCCATCGCCACTTCTTTCCATCAACTTCAGTCGCAATGACCTTCATCCCAAATGGATGCAGTCTCTCGAAGGAAATATTCGAATTCCCCCAGTCCATGTCATCGTCAATCTCACGGAAATGATAGGGGCGACCATGCCGGTAGATAAGAGCACACTTTGAAGTATCGACTGTGTGCCGATGCGCAACGGTGATGGAGCCATCTGCGTTTTCGACGACGACATTGTGCCACTACAAGTTATGAAGTGAGCACGCACGCGGACAGAAGGTGGAGCATGATGATTTACCGGCGTGCAAACGATATCAACATTCAAGAAAACTTTGAGGGCGAACTCAGGACCAGCATTTTGGTGAGGATGAATGCTGAGTCGAACGGCATCGGGAAAAGCCTTCGCAACAATAGCGGAAAACAGCTGTGTTATGTAGAGTCAGAGAAGCGGAACAAACACATAGTGACTTACGGCGCCATTCCGCATCATTGCCTTAGCGATGGCACTGATTGCTCTCTCTCGCCCTCGCTTAGAGAGAGTCTCTTTACAGTTAGCCTTATCGCAATGCAAATGCACGCCACTCAAATCCGCCTTCAAAAATTTCAAGTATCCTCGATAGGTCCTTAACGCGCCTTCATTGCTAATCTGTTTCTGGACGTCATACCTGCCGATTTCGGTTGCGAGGAAAGCCTCGCGGGTTGCGCGAGAAGAGAGGGCGTACTCCTCCTCGGGAATGTCATGGCGAGAAGATGTAGCTGCATTGAAACCCTCTTGAAGCAAGTCACGCACGCGGACTAAGGAGATGTGCGTGAGAGCAAGAGAAGAGACAAGCGGGCATAGCGCAGTGTTATATCGGTAAATAGTCATTTCTGGGACCCTTAGGAGTTCTGCAGAACGGGGAAATGCAGATGGGTGCCCTCAGCAAAGGTCCATAAATCCACAAGAACCCGAGGTGTGGAAGAACATCTTACGCACCTCCGTATATAATGCCGTCCGATACGATGTGGAGCTGTGCACCAGGTGGATATAGATCCTCGAGCGATCGGCAAAGGTCTTCCAATCTGGAGGCTCCAAATTAACCAAACGGGAAACACTAATAGAGCTCACCGGACGAATGCCACCCACCTGCGGAGAACGATCTCTTCTGCCATGTCAGGAAGAGCACCAAGAACTTTATCCTTGCTGGGGCTTTTGAATGGAAACGCAGGCAAGGCCAGCTGAATCTGAATGTTACGATCCACATGCCAACGGACTCGTTCCGCAAGAAACGCTCGCCCAGAAGTTTCGAACAGATCGCCCTTGCTGAAGAGCATGTAATCAACAATTCTAGCGACAAGTGCATCCACAAGTTGGGGAGTGGTTTAAGGACGGGGTATGGAGGGAGCTAAGAACTTCTTAGTAACTTGAGCTGCAAGTGGGATACTTGGCGCGGGTGGAACATTGAGGGTAGCCGAGTGGGATCGGATCATTGGGTAATATCCTAGAGTGCCCCAAACTGGACCATATTTGATCCCTTCGACGAGGATATAAAAACTAGTCAGGAAATGATACTTTTCCGTTTGGAGCCGACCATCTCATCAGGGAGAGCCGCTGTGATACATGTTCATCCCATTGTGTAATCCAGTCAGCCCGCAAGGAAACAGGGTCAAACATGATTCGAGATTTTGACTGGAACAGGGAGATGAAGCCAGACGTCGACTACTTGATTTGGAAGAATCGGTGAGCACCGTTTATCACGGCAACGACCTGCTCTTATGCCTTTTTCGAATGGGTTGATTTCCATGCAATGGGCAGTTACAACGCCAGTAACTCTCCTATTATAATAAACGCCAGACGCTTGTTCAAGAGGGACACATAGTCACCACCTGTGACCTGGACAAACGTTAAAATGGTCCTTCATTCCTAGAGAATTATCATTTTTCGTGTTCTCATTCATCACAGAGGCAGAGGGGACCAGGAGCAAAGTGTCGTTATCCGAAAGGGAGCCGGGCTGGTTCAATCGCAATATAGACTGCTCGGCCCATTGTATGGGCATCAGCTACTTATCGTGTGTGGCGTGGCAGTTGCACTGGCAGAGTCAAGATTGGAGAGCACATGAGCAGCGGAAGGGACAATCGGGGCAGGAGGTTGTAACCTGAATAGTGAAGGACCCTCAGTGCTTGGTAAGTGCTTGGGATCACTTTCCAAAAGAGTGAGCGAATTCGACACTCGGTCGGAGTTGGCCGAACCGAATGGGTGCGGAGCTTCTTTCAACATCTCAAGCAAAATGAATATGAGTTCTTCGTTGCAAAGTCGGTCCCGTCCCTGCTGGGCGCGTCCGTCCATCAAGGATGAGAATCATGCTCATGTTTGGAATTCGCTTCTTGCCAATCGATCACTGCTTCATGCCCAAGCGCTCTCACTTGGCATCTGGCTGCCCGCGACACACACTCAGAGTGACCAAACGGCTGATTTCCGGTCACACTCTGTCCTTCGCGCCTAACCATCAGTGTACCGACTCAAGCGCTCGTTCTACTCACAGTTCACTATCCCACCGCATCTTGACTGCATGCCCAATGGCCGTGCTTTCCGAAAGGCTATCAAGGTTATTCACAATAATCCCTTGGATTGCGAAGACTCGCTACGGCTGGATCTCGAGCTCCTGTCATTAGGACTCATACTCTTCTGAATCATCAATTGTCCTTTCAGTGCATGTCGATAGCCCAGCTTTCAGCATCGTCCAAGGATTGAATTTTTCGCACAATTTGTGGTGAGCATTCATAGTTATAAGACATGAGCTCGGATGCTCGAGGGCCCGGACGAGAAGGATGATTGGCCTTGCCCCTCATTCACGGACTACCGCTGTCGAGGTAGATGTTCTTGTCATTGGAGGTTTGTATTGCTATCCCTCTGACCGGTTCAAGGAATAATGTCTTTCCCTCAAGCCGGCCCCGTTGGCCTGGCATCTGCTCTCCTGGCTCACAAGGTTGGCTTGTCTTGCGTAACAGTCAGTGAGCGCAACTATCTCAATACCGTGTCGCTAATAATCATCCGCAACAACACACAGACAAGTCTGATGGCCCTCTCAAATCGGGTCGAGCGGATGCTATGAATGCTCGGACTTTGCAACTACTTGAACTGCTTGGTTATGGCATATTCGAGGAATTGCACGCCAAGGGTCTCCACTGTAGCAGTAGGTTGTCCTGCCGGTTACCATCCATATGTCGATCCTCAATTCCCTCTATTGCCTTGGTGTGTAATCAGCGAGCCCCACGTGGAAGAATGGCGAATTCACCTCCAGGCAGAACGCATGGTGGAAAGCGCTTCAAGGATCTGAGCACAAAGTGAGCTGCCTGTATTCGATGTTTCGTCTAATTCAAATTTAGACTGAAGACATTTTTAGCACCTTCTCGTGCTTGGTCAACCTTACCTCGAGGAAATTCTTGACAGGAATCTCACAGCAGTTGGGAAACCCGTTGAGCGTGGCGTCACTGTGCTTGAAGTGGGGCTTGATGACGATCCAAGCGCTCGACTAACATGGGCCAAGCTTTTGTCAAAAACAGGAATAGAGGTCGGTGGCACCAGCTCCATGCGTTCCGGTTTATAATTGCATTTACATGGTCACTCGCATTGCACCGAATCTACACCAACAGTCCTTGGTACGAGCAAAGTATCTCATCGGAGCAGATGGATCCCATTCCCTAGTTCGCAAGTCTTTCCCTGAGCATTTTATCCTCGAGCCTATCGGTGATGGCACCGAGATGACGTGGGCCGTTCTCGATGGCGAAGTCGATACAACTCCCTCGTGAATCAGAAATTATCAACTTCCAAGTGGATACAAGCGACGTAGCAAGAATGCCTCGCGAGGGCAAGATTGATAGGTACTATGTGGATCGCAGTTATTGCGGAGACGCGGGCATGTACTGGTTTGTTCATATAAGGCGATTGTGTCGTGGAAGTGAACCACCTGCTGAAGCGACTAGCGTTAGCACGAACGTTTCAAGTGATATGCGGTATCATAGTGCCTGAAGGAAAAAAAAAACTCTCGAAGTCTGTGGTGGTAGCTTTGCGGCTGTGATGCGGAAAGAATTTTCGGGAAGCTGTTAGACGAGGTTGGGGACTTGGTGTACATTTTGTAGCTGCTACGGTGCAAAGAGCTACGGATATGTCGACTCCTAAGGTTTGAGCGGTCCATAATATAAGTCCAGAAAAACGATCCTCAGGAAGGGCTTATAATGCATTGCTTGCGCCTTAATACGAGCCTTTTCGCTGCTAGTGGTCCTCCGGGAGTGTTGTTGGGGGGAAACCCATTATCCAGCAAAGAAAAGATATCAACGGCGAGATGATGTTGGATGTGATTCATAAATAACCAAATAAACCCCCCAACCGCGATGTGGATTCTGTGTCAATTTAGCACCAGATGGGGAGACCAACTCTGCGGGCAAACAGCTACCAAAGAATTGTTGCAGACGAACATGTGTCGGTCTGCAACAATGCCTTGCGGTTGGTCCTCTTTAGAACGCCGCAAACCGGCCGGCCCCCTTGAGCGAGGTCCAGGCTCACATTTAGGTTGGAAGTAATGATTGGAGGAATTCCCCAGAAACTTGTGATATTATCGGTGCCGACTCTTCATTAAGCATGTTCGCTTCCCCACTGGTCGTCAGAATCCATTACAGTCATACGTAATGCTCAAGTTGAGGATTTTACATTTGCATCATGTTCATCTTTTCGATGCGGGCGCAATGGAAACAGAGCGAGACGGCCCAAGGGCGAACAGATCACTAATAACTGAAAGCATGGAAATGGAGTCTCTAAGAGACTACATAAATCGCGCGAATATTCGCGCCTGCAGCCGCGCTAGGGTGCATGAAAAGGTGAATATAAGCAATAGGCTATTGTTATGGAGAATTGTGATACACTCTCGCCTCATGCTTCGAGAGCTGATATATTCATTGATGCGAAGGAACGATAAGACCGGGGGTCTGTCCTAATCGTGAGCCGCCTGTTCAATTCGAGACACTTTTTTTTAAGAGGTGACCGACGTTTGCACCGTCCCATGCACTGTGCTACAGAATTTCCTCGAGTTTCGCGTTAAGCCATGAGACGTGAAGGCAGGTCCTCTATTGGAAGGCAAACCAACGCTGAGCATTTAGCTCTGCGCCTGTTCTGACGTATGAAAAAAACATGACACCGGTGGGTTGCCACTTGCTGGTACCAATCTCTCTTCAGGCTAACTCCCTGCCGTGCTTGGTACTTGATCCGGCCCTACTGAGAGGCACCGTCACTGCTTGTTGACGCGTTCTCCAGTGTCCACGAGAGGACAGCGGCCACAGTTCGTTGCTAGTTCGTTACCCCACGACGTTGCTTACAGAGTCGCAAGCATTGCTCAGCTAGATGAAATTCAGGGTTATCCCAAAGGACTGAGTAGAAGTCCAGGTAGAGATAGAATCAGAATGAAGTGAGCAAACGATTAGAGTTCAATATCTTCGGCTAACTCCGTTTCCCGAAAGATACATGTACCACGTGATTCCGGGACAAACCAAATTCAATTCACCTGGGGGTTACATACAGCAATGGAAAACACAATCTATTGCTCGTAGGGTGGTAAATTTCCATTTGGGTCTAGGAAGTTAACAGTTAATTAACATGGATTCTCCATAGCTCTCGCTTGCCAGGCTTGAAAGCAGTGCGAGCGTGTATCAGCTGTGAAGGAAGAGAAGATGGTCAGTCCCCACCAACATCAGGACAAACCATCCCTTCCGCACCTCAACATTGTCAGCAATTAGAAAATCGCCTCGCTCCCACGTATGCTCGTAGCAATATCGGCGGTCATATAACAGCTCAGTGACACGGTTGCTAATTTCCGTGGAGCGCTCGGGTGATACACCAATGATGTTCACAGCCGCCAGCTTGAAGGCAGTGATCTCTTGGGGCCTGCGGAAAGGCAACATCAAGGGAATCAACAAACTGCGAGGTGAAGAGTGACGCTAATAAGATATACTCGCCATGGTTCATGCCACGACAAGACCTGATGACCCGTCAAGGGGTTTTTCTGCAGCAATGGCACCTTGATCTCGTCTCCACCATAATTCTTATTGGGAGGCGTAAATATGGTCCACATACGGCTCTTCACATCAGCTGCATATGGTGAGTGGGAAAGCGATTCGGCAAAGATGTTCGCCGTATTAGCGAACAGGGTGCGGCCACCAATATCCAAGGGTGAGTCCTTGGCCCCAGTGTATGATAGGGGTGCCTCGAGACATTGGAACATTTGGAAGGTTGGAGGATCCGGAACAACTGTTCCATCAGCAAGCCGCTTCGTCTTGAAAATGCCGTCAAAATGCATTGGCATCGCCTCCGATGTGAGAACTAGAAATGATCATTATGCATTGTCCCTCAAAAGCGAAGATCACACGATGATACCGTTGTTCAAATCGAAATTAGGATTTTCCTTCACTTCGAGAACTTCGCCAAAAACCCAGGGCCTTGAAAAAAATTGAGATATAACTCAGCAGCCAAGATAAGCAAAACGGGAACGACTCACGCTATCTCCCCCATCTCCCTCGCTTTCACAGTGTAGTCGGTTTTATCAACGCCTTCAAAACCCTTGAATATCAAAAGTGAATGCTTCCCTGTAAGCCTCCTGACTTTGGCCATGGGGACGTCTTTCCATCGCCACTTCTTTCCATCAACTTCAGTCGCAATGACCTTCATCCCAAATGGATGCAGCTTTTCGAAAGAAATATTCGAATTCCCCCAGTCCATGTCATCGTCAATCTCACGGAAATGATAGGGGCGACCATGCCGGTAGATAAGAGCACACTTTGAAGTATCGACTGTGTGCCGATGCGCAATAGTGATGGAGCCATCTGCGTTTTCGACCACAACATTGTGCCACTACAAGTTATGAGGTGAGCGCGCACGCGGACAGAAGGTGGAGCATAATGATTTACCGGAGTGCAAACGAGATCAACATTCGGGAAAACTTTGAGGGCGAACTTAGGACCAGCATTTTGGTGAGGATGAATGCTGAGTCGAACGGCATCGGGGAAAGCCTTCGCAACAATAGCGGAAAACAGCTGTGTTACGTAGAATCAGAAAGGCGGCACAAACACATAAGCAATGCGACTTACGGCGCCATTCCGCATCATTGCCTTAGCGATGGCACTGATTGCACACTCCCGCCCTCGCTTAGAGAGGGTCTTTTTGCAGTCAGCCTTATCGCAATGCAAATGAACCCCACTCAAATCCGCCTTCAGAAATTTTAAGTATCCTCGATAGGTCCTTAACGCGCCTTCATCATTGCTAATCTGTTTCTGGACGTCATAACTGCCGATTTCGGTTGCGAGGAAAGCCTCGCGGGTTGCGCGAGAAGAGAGGACGTACTCCTCCTCGGGAATGTCATGGCGAGAATATGTAGTTGCATTGAAACCCTCTTGAAGTAGATCGCGCACACGGACGAAGGAGATGTGCGTGAGAGCAAGAGAAGAGACAAGCGAACGTAGCGCAGCATTATATTGATAGACAGTCGTTTCTGGGACCCTTAGGAGTTCTGCAGAACGGGGAAATGCAGATGGGTACCCTCAGCAAAGGTCCACAAATCCACAAGAACCCGAAGTGTGGAAGAACATCTTACGCACCTCCATATACAATGCCGTCCGATACGATGTGGAGCTGTGCACCAGGTGGATATAGATCTTCAAGCGATCGGCAAAGGTCTTCCAATCTGGAGGCTCCAAATTAGCCAAACGGGCACTCAGAGCTTATTGAATAAATGCTACTCACCTGCGGAGAACGATCTCTTCTGCCATATCAGGAAGAGTACCAAGGACTTTATCCTTGCTGGGGCTTTTGAATGGAAACGCAGGCAAGGCCAGCTGAATCTGAATGTTACGATCCACATGCCAACGGACTCGTTCCGTAAGAAACGCTCGCCCAGAAGTTTCGAACAGATCGTCCTTGCTGAAGAGCATGTAATCAACAATTCTAGCGACAAGTGCATCCACAAGTTGGGGAGTGGTTTGAGGACGGGGTGCGGAGGGAGCTAAGAGTTTCTTAGAAACTTGAGCTGCAAGTGGGATGCTTGGTTTGGGTGGAACATTGAGGGTAGCCGAGTGGGATGTAACGGTGGATGGAATCATTGGGGAATATCCTATAGTGCCCCAAATCCAATCCCTTCGACGAGGGATATATACTAGTCAGGAAATAATACTTTTCCGTTTGGCACTTGAGCGGACCATCTCATCAGGGAGAGCCGCTTTGATACATGTTCGTCTCATTGTATGATCCATTCAGCTCGTAAGGAAACGGGGCCAAACATGATTCGGGATTTGACTGGAACATGGAGATGAAGCCAGACGTTGACTACTTAATTTGGAAAAGTGACGGTAACACCGTTTATCACGGCGACGACCTGCTCTCCCACCTTTTTCGATTGAAGTGCAATTGGTTTATTTCCATCCAATGGACGCCGATAGCTCTCCTATTATAACAAACGCCAGACGCTTGGTCAAGAGGGATACATATTCACTCTAGCCGTGGCTTGGACAAACGTTAAAATTCCTGGGTTATCATGTTTTGTGTCCTCATTCATCACAGAGGCAGAGGGAACCGGAGCAAAGTGTCATTATCCGAAAGGGAGCCAGCTGGTGCAATCGCAATATGGATTACTTAGCCCATTGTATGGGCATCAGCTGTTTTGTGTGGCGTGGCAGTGCGCTGGCAGAGTCAAGATTGGAGGATAGGGTCAGAGTACATGAATAGCAAAGGGGGCAACCGGGGCAGGAGCCTGTAACCTGAATACTTAGTGGAGGACCTTCAAGTGTTTGGGATCACTTTCCAAAAGAGTGAGCGTGAATTTGACACTCGGTCGGAGTTGGCCGAACTGAATGGGTGCGGAGCTTCTTTTCGACATCTCAAGCAAAATGAATATGATGTGTTGTGAGTTCTTCGCTGTAAAGTCGATCCCGTCCCCGCTAGGCGCGTCCGTCCTAGGCAGGTGACCAGCCTCTCTTTAGGGGCGTCCGTCCATCAAGGACGAGAACCATGCTCATGTATAGCATATGAATTTGCTTCTTGCCAATCCATTACTGCTTCATGCCCAAGCGCTCCCACTCGGCATCTGGCTGCCCGCGACGTCACACACACTCGGAGTGACCAAACGGCTGATTTCCCGTCGCACTCCATGTCCTTCGCACCTAACCATCAGTGTACGGACTCAAGCGCTCGTTCTACTCACAGTTCACTATCCAACTGCATCCTGACTGCATGCGCAATGGTCCGTGCTTTCCGAAATCCCCTCACTGCTATCATGAATCATCAAGGTTATTCATAATAATCCGAAGACCCGCTCCGGCTGGATCTCGAGCTCCTGTCATTAGGACTCATACTCTTCCGAATCATTAAGTGTCCTTTCAGTGCATGTCGATAGCTCAGCTTTCAGCATCGTCCGAGGATTGAATTGCTCGTACAATTTATCGTGAACATTCAGAGTTATAAGACATGAGCTCGGCTGCTCGAGGGCCCGGACGAGAAGGATGATTGACCTTAACCGCCATTCACGGACTACCGTTATTGAGGTAGATGTTCTTGTTATTGGAGGTTTGTATTGCTATCCCTCTGACCGGTTCAAGGAGTAACGTCTTTTCCCTCAAGCTGGCCCCGTTGGCCTGGCATCTGCTCTCCTTGCTCACAAGGTTGGTTTGTCTTGCGTAACAGTCGGTGAGCGCAACTATCTCAATACCGTTTCGCTAATAATCATCCGCAACAACACACAGACAAGTCTGATGGCCCTCTCAAATTGGGTCGAGCGGATGCTATGAATGCTCGGACTTTGCAACTACTTGAACTGCTTGGTTATGGCATATTCGAGGAATTGCACGCCAAGGGTCTCCACTGTAGCAGTAGGTTGTCCTGCCGGTTAGCTTGCCATATGTCGATCCTCAATTCCCTCTATTGCCTTGTTGTGTAATCAGCGAGCTCCACGTGGAAGAATGGCGAATTTACTTCTAGGCAGAATGCATGGTGGAAAGCGCTTCGAGGGTCTGAGCACCAAGTGAGCTGCCTGTATTTGATGTTTCGTCTAATTCAAATTCAGACTTGGGCCATTTTAGCACTTTCTCATGCTTGGTCAACCTTACCTCGAGGAAATTCTTGACAGGAATCTCACAGCAGTTGGGAGACCCGTTGAGCGTGGCGTCACCGTGCTTGAAGTGGGGCTTGATGACGGTCCAAGCGCTCGACTAACATGGGCCAAACTTCTGTCAAAAACAGGAATAGAGGTCGGTGGCAGCAGCTCCATGCGTTCCGGTTTATAATTTCATTTACATGGCCGCTCGCATTGCGCCGAATCTACACCAACAGTCCTTGGTACGAGCAAAGTATCTCATCGGAGCAGATGGATCCCATTCCCTGGTTCGCAAGTCTTTCCCTGAGCATTTTATCTTCGAGCCTATCGGTGATGACACCGAGATGACGTGGGCCGTTCTCGATGGCGAAGTCGATACAACGTTCCCTCGTGAATCAGAAATTATCAACTTCCAAGTGGATACAAGCGACGTAGCGAGAATACCTCGCGAGGGCAAGATTGATAGGTACTATGTGCGAATGGATCGCAAGGTGTTTGAAGTCGAGGAGGCAATCGAGAAGATCCGGAGAGCCGTGGCGCCTCATCCCTTCAAGTTCGTGGATCTGGAATGGAACAGTCAGTTCACTGGTGAGTTACAGTAAATATATTTCGGAGGCTGTACACTGAGCGCTCGCTTCCAGTTCGCGAGCGCCTAGCGTCGAAGTTCTCGATCCGCCAAAGGGTCTTTCTCGCTGGCGATGCATGTCACGTCCATTCGTAGGTCACGGATTGCTTCTTTCTCCGTTGAACTCATTCCGTTCCTGCAGTGTTAATGGTGGTCAGGGACTTAATACTGGTCTTTCCGACGCGTTCAATCTCATATGGAAAATCAATTTGCATGCGAAGCGTGCCGGTTCCGAAAATGTTCTCAAGTCTTACGAGAATGAACGCCGACCCGTTGCCAAAACTGTGATTGAGACCGCCGGAGCTCTCGTGAGGGCCACCAAATATTCGCAACAGAGACAGCTGGTTATTGGGGCCCAACGTGATGTCACACCCGACGAAGAACAGCTGCACCAGTTATGGGATCATTCAAACTACTACGTTGGACTTGTCAAACTAAATTCGAGATTCATCACAGGTTTGCAATGAGTCCATGGAACTAAATTGATAAACCCTATTGCTTACTTTTTATAACAGGGATGGGGATTTCCTATGCAGACCAGACCGCTGCCCTGGCATCCAGCGCATTCATCTCGCCAGAGTATGGTGCCCCTCTGGTTGGCTACCGCGGATTCGACTTCCACCTTACGCCACTCACTGTTGACAGCAAGCCAACGAGATTGTATACTGAATTAGATTACGACGGGAGATTTGATATCCTTGTGTTCTTCCCTTCATCCGAAATTGTTGGCGCGACGCGCATTATTTCATCCCTGATGGAGGTGATTCCGGGACCGCTCAAGCCCATAGTGAGGATACGCATCATACATTCCTCATCACCATCCATCCCTCAACGCCCATTCGATACCGCCGCTACCGGGGCAGATTCGTTGCCAATCGTCCATTATGTCGATACGCCAATACCCGACTCCAAGATAGGCACAGTGTCTGGACGGGCGCTTTATGCTGACGCGATGGGGCTAGACGAGATAGGTGCCGAAGGTAAAGAGGGGTTGGTCGTCATTCTTCGGCCTGATTCGTATGTTGGGTTTGCCGAGGCTGTGGGCACAACCGCGTGGTCGTTTGAGGGGGTAAGCGGGTATTTTGCCGGGCTATAAAGCGGGGTTCCGGACAAAAGGCTTGAGCACTGTGAGGTTACCACCCTCTATTGGAATAGACCTGGAATCTTTGACGGTCATTGCAACGTAAATATTTTGGTAATTTAATCAATTTAATTAGACGCTGCGCCAGATCACGAGGATGGCCGTAATAGGCATTCGGTGATCGAGATGGCTGCCTCTCTACTAATAGAGGCTGGTAACCTGCCTTAATGGCTGCCATGTGTTTCACAACCTTGCCCGCCAACTTGCGCAAGCCCTCGCTTGCTCGTAAGGGGGCGCCTAGGTCCATTGCTGTGCAAAACTAATATTCCTCGGGCGACTCCCGCATGTACTTGTTGCCGCCCCATATATTCACAAGCCGCCCTTGCGCCAAAGCATCATCAATCATCGATGGACACAATATATTCGGCCAACTCCAGTATGTATATATAAAGCCGATCATTCACCTTCAATTTATGACTGCATAAATGATTTCTTTGGCACGCGCCCATTTCCCTTATATTCCTCTCACTCCTAGCCTTTTTCTCCCCCTTCTCACTTTTCAGAATCTCTTTCTTCATTATCATCTTCCTCGTCGCGCTTCAGCATTCACACCCCATCGAAACGTAAACATGGTCGTCGCACAGCCCAAACTTCCACTCTGCTGGGGCCATAGAGGCGCGAGCGTACGTGTTCCTCGCCTTTTAACTTTTCCTTCACCGTTAAAGGGTTTTTGCTAACTGCTGGTGGCATTCCTTTTACTTCCTGCTACGCGTCGCAATTCGTTCAAATTGTGTCTCTGATGTCCTTCACATCACTCACTGTAACCGCCAAATCCCGACGTCATCTCCGTTTTCGTACGATAAAGGCCGATTTCCCCGAGAATACTCTGGCATCGTTCGAATCTGCTGCCCGAGCGGTATGCTCGATATATTCTCTTCCTCCTCTCTTTCTCAACAGATCCTACGCATACTAGGGCGCGGACGGCATTGAGACTGGTGCGTATCTGAAACATTGCCTTGAGAATTTTTTCTTACACCGGCCCTAACTACCCGCTTGTTCCGTCTTGCCATTCCGGTGTGAACCGGCTCCCTCTCCCTTGTGGTTGTCTCAAACAACAACAGACGTGCACATCACATCAGATGATTACCTCCTGATGTTCCACGACCCTGAGCTTGGGAGAACGACTCAAGGAGGAAAAGGAAGTATCAATGCGCAACCTTACAAGGGAAACATCGAGTTTCTGAAAACGAACAAGTTGCCCGAACAGCAACTTCCAACCTTTGACGAAACTATCGAGTGGCTTGTCAAGCCCGAAAACCGGCACATCACTTTGCATGTGAGTTTTTCATCCTATCAAAAATGATTATTTCCAAAACAGGCGTTCAACTGCTTTTTTTTTCAAGCTTGATCTCAAAGCCAATAATCCGCCAGAGAGGCTTTTCACTCTCATGCGCAAGACTTTCTCCCGTTATGTCGACTGGGAACAGAATATCGGCCCACGCATCGTCCTTGGTATTTGGCATCCCGCTTTCATGCAACATGCAGTCAGAAACCTTCCACAGCGTACGTACCTAAATTGGACCATTCAATTGTAGAATTCCTCCCACGTGCTCATGCTGACTTCGTTCCCACTCTCACATCGAACCCTTGGAAAACTTATTCGCAAAACCAGTGAAGCGATGCTACATCGGAATAGAGATTACCCTCGCGTCGAACCCTACCTTCTGGGATAACTGTCACGCATTTTCGATCGCATATCCAATTCTTGCTACGTCCACCGGTCAATCCTTCCTTAGACAGTGCAAGGATGCGAAGAAAGAAGTCTATACCTGGACGTTGAATCGACAGGAGGAGTGGGTTGAGAGTGCAGGGTGGGGTGTGAATGTTGTCATGACGGACAAGCCCATCGAGTATTTGGCGTTTAGGAAAGAAATGGAAGGTTTGTGCCTGTCGTCGGGCTTTCCCCATGGGATTTTTTGGGCTAACAGAGGTCGGATTTAGAATCGAACCATACATTGCAACCTATCGATCCTTGGTTCGCCTGGAAAAACTGGACGTACGTCCCTTCTGTTCCTTTTCTCATTCTCAGAACCTGAACGAGTGCGGGTACTAGATATTACACCTTTGCCCATTACGTTTACCGTTTAATAAAATGGAGGACACTCGAGCGTCTTGGAGGACCACTCAAGCCCTATCTCAGTAACAGCATTACTCCACCACGCAGAACTTTAATTTCGAAGCAGGAGTGAAGAGTTTTCGCCCGTTTTCCCTCATTTAGTGGCGTAACGAACCCCTCCTACTTTGCTTCGTTGGTAGAAGGGAAGTTAATTGAAAAAAAAAGACGTTCAAGTCGTTTCTCATTATGTAGAACAAATCATTTTCCCTCTGACTTCTGCTTTCCAACTCTCTTCCTGATGTTCATGTTTTCTTTTGCCTGTGGATTACCGTTACCAAATGCCTACACGGCAACAACGTAACGACAACCTCGATCCGAAACCTCCGAGCTTCGAACGTCAACAAACCATAACCCGTAACTCTCTTCTCGGCCCTCACATAACTCTCGCACGGATTTTCCACGATCGTTCTTCCCCCTCGGCCGAACGTTTTCGTTGGAATTTCTCCGTTTTTCTCCCTCGTGTTACTCCCATACGTAGTAATACCCTTGTTTCGTTATAGTACTAGGGGGTGTTTATTTCGTTGGGTCTGACCAACAAGGATCGTGGGATTAATCGCTCGCGCGTTGTACACGGAGATTGGATGTTACAAGTGGCTCGCGTGCGGCATGCATTCGCAATGGTGCAGGGATTGTTGCTGATGCCGTGCGTTGACAACGAGGTTCTGCACCATGATGCTTGCGTGACGTCCGCGCAACAGGATGTGTGTCCACGCATCGCGGACGCGGACGCGAACACAGATGCCCTCCTCCCGTTCAAAACGTTTTCCTGTTCCGGTCTTTCAGTTACATGCATGATGGAGTAGAGCGTAGGGGGCCCTAGGACGTTTCTTCTCTGTGTTGACACTTAAACCAGTTTAGTACAGCAGGTTCTCTAATTGGTTTGAATTCGATTCTGGATGGACCGATAGATCAGATGGATGGTTAGATTGTTTTGGGGCAGCACTGGTAGCTTACACCTACTTTTAATTTGTTTATAGACTTGTTGTAATCTACGTATATACCCACCCTTAAAATCTAATCAGAAGATGCCCCGCCCTTCCTTAATCGTTTCCGGCTATCGATACGACAATCAATGTTGTGGATGCAAAGTAATAATCAAGTCGAAGACATCGTTATCACTTCATTAATTCCGCTCAAAGTCAGGTCAGGGATCTATAGCAGACCATATTTGATGTGATCATGCTAGAGTGTTCGGAACGTGAATAGCAAGTAGTGCGGGGAAACTGGGAAAGCCCCGTGAACTTGACAAGGGTTTGAGTATAATGGAAATTGCACATGATGCTGTAGCGTGAGGACGTTCAGGATTCAGGGAACTAACTCGTGATGCTTGGATATTGCACTTAGCACGTTTGTGACGCAACTGGGGTCGCGGGTGGGGAATGGTTAATCGTCACGTGAGCAACCCTTAATTCTACCACGCTGTGACTAGTACTGGTGCTGCGCAGCATATCTCAGCTGATGTCCCCGGGGCCACCGCGTGCGGAAGGGAAGTAATAAACCATCATAGGGTGAACAAAGGGTGTAAGGGCCAAGCTAGGGTCATGATGACTTTGACAGCTGACTGGCTCTAGAAGCCTAGCTTGGTATAGGGGAACGTTATGGGAATGATAAAGTCAATGGTGTGTCATTGCGCACGTTCTTTCATCTCATGAAAGCTGCCAAAAGCAACAAGGGCTCAAATAAAGTATATGAACGCACAGGGAATCCGCGCCGCGTTGTGACATCACTCGTTATTTATACAGTTATGACATTGGTGCGAAGGGTTAATCAGCGGCGCTAATCTTTGTAAGCATAGACATCGTGTTGGTTTTTTGGAGCTAGTGCTTTGCATCATATCCTTGCGCCACCCCCGCAACGAACTCCTGTTTGCTTCCGGTGGCACCCGATCATCTAGTGATCCAATACGTACTTGTCCTCGACTGCAAGCGCATGGAGTGCATTTGGATTGCGCTGTGCCAGAGGAATCTAGCGATCGCGAGCTAGTATCCCATCGGGTGGATCGTGTGTGCATACTGGTTGTCTAAAGGACCGAGAGCAACTGTCCCAAGTGGTATGGTGTTGATCGATCAAAACATGAAACTTTGATACCGAGTACTTATGACGTTTTCCGTAACCGGCGAGGCGTGTTGGGGCATTATTCCTGGTACTTGCATAGTACGCGATGTCAGCCTGGCGAGACGGATGCAAGACTATCACCGCTTCTCGCCAAGCGTTGGCCTCGCGTGAGCGCGTGAACGATAGATAATATTTGACTTCACCTTCGGGGAATCAAAGCTACTGCGTGGGTCGCGGAAACCCAGATCGCGACTGTTACTTTTCTGGTGTCGGCAACGTTAAGAGTAAGAGGCCTACAATCTGAGCGCATGGTCTTTGGAATGCCCTCCAGAGAAGTTGGTCATACTGATCTCCATTTATTCCTATGAAGATCGGCTCCAGAGGACGCGGGGATATACTCATATGATTCTTCTACCCATTCTGACTTGGCGAAGTACAAGTATACTGTATTTGGATATTGCACTGATGAACCATAGTGCTCGATCGATGGGCGGTACTACATAACTGTGGACGAGGATCGGAATCCATGCTGTCGATGCCCATATTGATATGATGTGTTAATTCTGTATGCATGGGGATGCGGTTTCTACACCAACGCTAGCTCGCCGGTGCTCCAGATGACAATATTGGCTGCATGTGTAAGTGCCAGAATAATTCTCCTCAAGCTCAAGTCCAGAGTTCGAACGGCAATGAGACAGGATATTGAGTCTATGGGACTGCCTCACTGACGAAAGATGAATGCCACATGGTGGATGCTCTAAACAAGATAGCTGAGAATGAAGTTGTCTTAAGCGTTGATTGATAGAACGATCGTCACAGGAACGTGCTAGTTTTGTCACCGGCCTTACCGCAATGGTCTTTTTATTAGAACACCAACTTTGTTTACATCGGGAAGTTGTGTGGCGGTTATTCGTAGCGGTTATTCTGGGGCGCTATGAGGCGTTGGGGGCGTTTTGCCCTTTCTTATTCAACTTAAAACTCCCTTTGTACGAAGATGTTGCCACTCAGGAATGTCGTGTATATAAGGGAGGAATTTCTTAGACTTTCTCCCTCAGAACTCTTATTCGAGTCTGAGTCTAACGCGACATAGTCTTAATTCTAATAGGTTATGAGACTAGACATGGCCGCTACCACTTCCACCGATACTTCTTCCAAAAGTCTTTACTGCATAGAAAAGCTAAATAATGATGGTCGTAACTATCGTATGTGGTCCGTGCATTGCCAAATGGTCCTCAAAGATCGAGGACTTTGGGGAGTTGTCAACCCTCATTCATTATCCTCCATCTGTCCCTCCACTCATATTCCCCCTACTCCTGATGTTGGCGAAAATGACACGAAAACACTCAATCCTGCCGCTATAGAGTGGGATAAGAAGAATGACACTGCGCTAACACAAATAGGACTTACTCTTGATGACACACCTCTTTCCCTTGTCGATAAACACAACTGTGCAAAGATAATGTGGGTTGACTGTTAAATTTCTTGGGATACAAGCATACGCTGAGGCCAACTCACATTGTTGATGTTGAGTCTTGCGGCGCTAAGATCTACTTTGTTTCCCTTTTTTGGATCAGTTGTTACTAAAGTCAGTGCACATTGATAGCGCCTGACTATAAAACACCAATTTTTGGACCTTATGACTTCTCCTCAGTTCACGCATAGCGGACTGAGCGACAACATCGCTAGTCCGACATTTCGTCTTATAGGTTATGAGCCCCATTCACTCTGAACTTCGTCCTACCTTGTGAACTCCATATCCCCTTCCTTCCCAATGTCCAACACCACTGCAACCACTAGTGCAGCCGCTAGTTCCTCAACAACAACCATCTCCCCAGACAGCTCCCGGTTCCCCATTAAAGTCTTAGACAATGAGGGCAAGAATTACCGTACGTGGGCATCTAGGATGAAGTCGATACTTCAGATAGGAGAGGTTTGGGAGGTCGTGCAAGACACGTCAACAGGCGGCGTTGCCATGCCAACGCAAACAGGCCAAGACCTCACGGACTGGTTGAAGAAGGATATGAAGGCATTAACGTATATCAAGTGCTATATAGGTGATGAACCTATCATGCTAATTGATGAAGCTCCCCATGCTTGCGAAGCATGGAAACTCCTTTCTAATCACTACAACGGTCGTGGTGCACACGATGCCATGATTATCCATGGTGATCTGTATGCTTTCCACATGGATGACTCTAAGCCGCTGGAGCCACAGATCAATGAAATGCGACAACTCCGCGCCCAACTATCCGAAATGGGCTGGAAGGTTGATGAAGGTGACTTTGTCATAGCTCTTGCCAAAGCACTCCCCGCTACGTATCATGCCATTAAGACCTATGTCATCGTCCACGTCGACGATGTCAACACCGTAACCTCCACAAGCCTAATCTGACACATACTCCAAGAAGAGAAACTCAGGAACAACGACCCTGAGATCGCCGCCATGTTCACCAACGGTGGAAAGTCTGGCCGTCGTGAAAAGAAAAAGTCGAGTGGCTCAACAACGAATACTTCCAAACCGGTGGTTCGTTGCTCGAATCCTAAGTGTGGAGCACTAGGTCATACGATAGAACAATGTTGGTCGGAAGGTGGAGGGTCAGAAGGGAAGAGATCGAGACGCAGAAGGGGGAAGGGCAAGTCAAAGTCAATGACACCGAAGGAGTTGGCCAAAGTCGCAACCTCTCCTGATGAAAAAGACAAAATCTTAGTCACCGGAGCTTCAGACTTACTAAGTGCAACACTCACTGGTAATGAATGTTGACGCTCTGAGTGGATAGTCGATTCTGGAGCCACCATGCACTTATGTGGTAATCGTGAGTGGTTCATCTCCTACCGTCCCCTTGATCCTCCTTGAAAAATCGTCCTAGGTAACAAAAAGGTAATTTTAGCGCCGGGCATTGGACAGGTGAAAGTGACTTTTCTTACTGGAAACTCACCTGGAAACACCATCATTCGCAACATCCTCTATTGCCCGAAGATCGCCCATAACCTTTTATCCATCATCCAACTCAATTCATC